GCGCTTGGATCCTTGAGATCATGCTTCTAACCAATAAGCCAGGTATTAGGTAAAAAATCAAAGTTCGGTCATTTTCAGTCAAAACCCTAATTTTGCCCATTTTGCCCTTTTGGTAATTTGAATGACTTTCTTGGAAAATTGTGATCCAAGACTTGGAAATTGACAAAAATAATCCTGAGGGTCCATAATGATCCATGAAAGTCATTTGAAAAATTATAAATCCAGCTGCCTTTTTACAAACTCACACCCTAATTTGAGGCATCAATGTTGAGGAGATTATTTGACCTAGTCGATGCTTGCACAAACTTGAGTCATTGAAGATATTTGTAGGAAATATCTTGAGAAATGAGAGAGCAAATTTTGGGGTACAACATTTTCCATTAAGGGAAAGAGCCTGCGAAGACATGATTATCAATACCTGGTTGAATAGGTTTCTACAAAGTTGTCCAACTAGAAGGGAAATATGTTATCTTTTGCAGGGAGACTAACGTTAACTAAAAGTGTGTTAGAAGTTATTCCGATCTATCCGATAATGACAGACATTCTACATAAACCTTGTATTAAAGAGATTCAAAGGATGCAACGGAAATTTCTATGGGGTGACACGATAGATAAGAAACATATGCATGCGATTAATTGGGATATAGTTACTAATCTAAAGGAGGAATGAGGGATGAGTTTGAGGAAACTTGATCAATTTAATAGAGCGTATTTTATGAAGTTAGTGTGGAACTTGCATAATAACCAAGATAAGCTATGATGTAAGGTGTTGAGGAACAAGTCCAGAGTGCAAGATATCCATAACTTGAGCTTCAACAACACAAGTTCTAAATTATAGAGGGAGATTATCAAGATGGATCATGAGATAAGAAGTTTCGGTAACTGGTGCATCGGTAATGGAGAGTCAATTAAGGCTTGGAAAGACTGCTGGTTGGATGTCGGAGTGATTATTAGTGAGTTGGACGTCGAGATTCCCATTGAGTTTTTTCATGCTAGATTGTGTGATCTAGCTGACACGGATGGCAACTGGAATTGGCAGGTTTTAAACTAGTGGATATCAGAGGGTATTTTGCAGAAAATATCGTCGATCCTTCCCCCTCGTAGTGAGTATGGTAACGATGAATTTCTGGTTGCGTGATTTATAAGACATCATTTTTCTATGAAAGAAAGTTATCATATGATTATGGCACAGTATAGTGATGATTCGGGTACGTTGTGGCATAAAATATGGGGGTTGAAAGTTCTAGAGCGTGTTCATTATTTTATTTGGATGTTGGCTCATGACCGTATTGTTACAAATTTCTCCTTAAGTACTAAAGGCATAGGTAGTGCCAGCTGCCGCTTGTGTCGGTGTGTCAAAGAATCAGCGTTGCACGCAATGAGGAATTGTAGCTATGCCAGACAAGTATGGAATAGACGACTGCCTAGTAGCATTGGTAGTAGCTTCTATAGTACGGGCCTTGTAGATTGGATCCTTATTAATCTGATTGCTAATAATTCATAGGCTAGTTATTGGTCAACATGTTATCACATTTTATGGATGTAGAGAAATAAGAAAAATCATGATGAGAATTATAGGAGGCCCCCGGATTCAGATGTTTGTATTCACCATAAAGTAAAGGAGTATGCAGCCTCCTTAAAACACCAGAGGGCTATGGAGATTAGGGATAGAAGTCAGATTAATGTTGGGTGGAAACCGCCAGATACGGGGTGGGTTAAGCTTAATACAGATGGGTCCCAGATTTCTAATTCAGTTGCGGGTTGTGGAGGTATTATTTGGAGTATAGATGGAACATGCTTAGGCGGTTTCGGTTTTTGGGGCACTGTAGCATCGTTAAAGCGGAGTTATGGGGTGTTCTCAAAGGCCTTCGTTTAATTAAAGAGTTGGGTCTGACGAAAGTTGAAGTTAATGTGGATTCCACGAGTGTTGCTGAGATGATTACTACTGGAAGAACAACAAATATGGATACACTTGCTATAGTTAATCAAATCATCAATCAAGTCTAAAGCATTGGAGAGGTGAAAATCTCTCATTGCTATCGAGAAGCTAATTTCTGTGTAGACGCGTTAGCGAAATTTGGAGCTACCGGTGGCAGAGATCTCTACTTTAAGGATGACTATTTGATGTTTATTTTTCATTTGCTTAGTAATGATGTTCTAGGATTTTATGTTTCGAAGTTAGCTTCGCTGTAATTTCTTCTCTCTTGAGCCTCTGGTCCTCCATTTCAACAAAAAAATATTTATGGTAGAGTAAAAATTATATTAATATTATTTAAGAGTTATTATATCAATAATTTATTTATTTTTATGTGAGAAGTATGGTACATATAATAATGATTAATAATAAAAGTTTAATTTATGTATATAGTAAAATAAATACATTTATAAACTTGTGGGCTCTGGCCTTCAATTTACCTAAGAAAGGAGATGTTAATTATTATTTAAAAATAATGATTTAAACTTCTTTTTTTAAGTTATTAGATTTATAAATATTTATGATTTGTTTACTGCACTATAAGAAAGATAAAAGTATTTTTTACATTTACAAAAATTTAATTAAAATAAAATTGAAACATAGATAACTAAAGTGTAAGGAAACAATCTGAGTAAAGAAAAAGAGTTATCCAAAAACATGATTTACATTGAATAAAAGTAAAAATTTAAGAAATGAATAATTATAATTATTTACTTGCGTAATAGCAGATAAGTCTAATCCAGCATGGCATGGATAGTTGAGATGATAATTAATAAGATAGAGTTAACAACATTACATATTCAATTTTCCTTTTAGAAAAACATTACATATTTAAGAAAGGGATTAAAATAATAGTAGAATATATGAAAGCAAAATTGAAAAAAAAGTTAAATATACATTTTTAAGACATTGAGCACATTTTTAGGTTTAAATAATATTTTGGTTCTATTAAGTTGACTTGCTTTTTATTTTATGTTTTAAAAAAAAAAATTGGATGAAATTTTATATTTTGAGTTTCGTTTGATTTTAGTCTTTACGTCAAATTATCTTTTACAAAAAAATTAAAATGTCAAACATCTAGTGACGTGGTATCAATGATATGATATCAGATTAAAAAATATATTTTTATAAATTATCTTTTTCTTTTTCAATCCATCTCCGTCTTCAATTTTTTCTCACCTTTAAATTAATCTTCAACTTCTATTTATTATGCGCAACATCATTCATTATTCTCAATCATTTCAAGCATCGTTCTCAATTCCATATTCATTTTAATCTTTATATCCAAACCATAGAATATATGTATTCTCTTTCAAATCTCTTTCTTTTGTTTTATCTCTGAAACAATGAGTGGTGTGTTGTTGTGAAGGTGTTAAAGTAATTTTTATGTGGAATTTTTCATGTTGTCTCTACAAATAGTTAAATTTATGGTTTATTTATATTCTTTAATGGTAGAAGTGTTTGTCTATTATTAAATTCATGACTTTACCAATCTTATTTTTTACTAGTTAAATACTTCAATTTTCTAACGTTAGTCAAGAGCTTTGAAATTGCACATTGATTTAAAACCTTTTACTTTGAAACTCGGAATTAGGGATTAAAACAAAAAAAAAAACATTTAGGAACTAAAACAAAAAACACGTCAAATTAGAAGGACAAAAAGACTATTTAAGTCAAAATTTTAGGTTTGTGTTCATATCTTCATCCTCAACCTTTATACAAACCTAAATTATTTTTTCAAAATTGATACTGCAACACCAAGTACTTGATTGTAGTTTGAAGAAATGTTATGAAAATCAAGAACGCAAATAAAAATACAAACAAACAAAAAAATACAAACATATAACTCATTTGTGGTACTTTCTCACCCAAATATATTTGTTTCAATAAAGAGAAAATAGTATAGTAGTTTCAAAACCAACACTAGCATGTAAGATTAGAAGTAAAAATTGAATGTACTAAACTTCAAAAAATAAATATTTGAATTTTGAATCTTGAAAATGAGGGTCAACGATTGAAAATTTACAATTAGGGTTGGAAAATTGAAGACATTTGGGTTTTATGTCATGAAGAGGAGGGTCAAGATTTAGAACATGGAGAAGAGGGTTGTAAAATTGAGGGATTTTGGATTTTGTATATTGAAGATTTTGAAGGGAATCAAAAGAAGTCGATGAAGCTTTAATGGAAGATGATGGTGAAGGTTGTGAGAGAATGAGTGAATAATATAGCTACAAAATCAAACTATCAAAGATGATTGTGGTTTGAAATAGTGGAACACTAAATAAACATACATGAATACCTCATAAATAAACACATATGTTCTCATCGATCTAAAATAGTTATGGGTTTGTATGAAGATTAAAGATGAAGATATAAACACAATTCAAAATTAAGGACTAAAAAAAATTACAGAGACTAAAGCAAAAAAAATTACAACGTACAGGATAAAAAGACTATTTAATTTAGAATTCTAGATTTGTGTACATATCTTCATCCCCAACCTTCATACAAATCCATAATTTTTTTAAACTTTTTTTTTATATTTTCATCAGTTTGCAGAACATAATATGAAGGTGAAAATGAAAAAAAATGGAGGTTAGAGATGGTGTTTGAAGGTGAGTAAAAATGAAAGTGAAAATGGATTGAAGAAGATGTTTTGTAAAATTACATTTTTTTTCCTTAATTTCATCCCTTCATGTCACTAATGACACGTCATTAGATGTTTGCCACATCATCTTTTTTTAATGAAGAATTGACGTCATGGACTAAAACCAAACAAAACTCTAGATATAAGGATCTCATAAAAAAAGATTTAAGGATTAAAATAAAATCGCTCTAACAACTGTTAACCACGAGAGAAGTCGGAATCTTATTCTCTCCTTAGCACGCATAGCCGAATCAAAATTTAACAAGTTGTCTATGATAAATTATGCAATGCCATACCCGTGAACTTTCAATATGTCAAGGATCTCAAACCAGACATGTTCATAAACAACACAAGAAACAAAAAGGTGGTGTGAGATTCTTATGGCCTAAGACAAAGCGGGAAAACGAGGTTATGAGGACCAGATATAACTCCACGCTTCGCCAATTCATCTCCCGTTTGGAGTGTATACAAAAACAACCTCCACACAAAAACCTGAATACAACTGGGAACATTTGTCTTCCAAAGAAACTTCAAAGCCAGCTTCAAGTTGTCGCTTAGATGAAAGACATGATTTACTAGGGAAAACAACCTGCAGTATGCCAATTTAACAGAAAAACCAAACGAACGAATCCAACCTGCCGAATAAGAAGTAGCACAGTATAAGAAGTCAGAAGCCTGTTTCAAGAATTCTGCATCAATATTAACGCCAATGACTCTGCTCTTATGAAAGTTGACCGCTAGATCGGAAGAAAGCTCAAAGTCGTGCAAGATATGTTTAATGGACCATAAGCACTCCTAACTCGGCTTCTCAACTATGATTGTGTCGTTCGTGAATTGGACAAGATCAATTTAAAGTTGGTCGTAGAAGCTGAATGGTTGAAAAGAGAAATTTGCACGCACATTCTTCATTAATCCTGCAAGACCATCGGCTGCCAAAATGAAAAGAAAAGGGGAAAGATATGTCCCTGCACAAAAAATTCAGATATACAGTTGAACAAATCATGATCTTCTAAAGGACGGTTCATGTAATCTATCATAGAAATGAAAATGTGTGGAGCTAATAGAGATTATGGAAAATTTTGGTCATTGACAAGGAGAACTTGTTCAGATCTTGGAAGATTAACACATTAGCATCATGACTTGTTTTGAAATAGATGTGATACTGAACTTGAATCGACCTCTTCTGTCGCAATTAAATTTACGACCACCACGAATAGCACAATTTTCATTGAATTGAGATCCATTCCACTGTTGAGGTGCATAATTAGGATCTGAAATAGGTTGAGACAAAACATTTGTTATTGATATAGTGCATTGAGTAATGTTAACTGAAAGAGGTTCAACTAACATGATTTACTTCATCTTGTCAAATTTAGTCTCATGTAAGAGTAACATTGACTCAACTTCAATTATTGGACCCATAACAACAATATATTGACTAATAGATGCAAGAGAACTATAATCATCTGATAATCCTTCTAAGATATCTTCTAAGTGATCATAATTTGATACTAAATCAGCAATAAAACAATGACATCAACAATTTTTTGAATACGGGCAAGGAAGCACGGTTTTGGACAACGTAATGAGAAGCCGTGTGAAGAGGAATGAATCCATTGCTCCCACGTGATATATCCAAGATTATCGACTTCACTCTTGTGATTGTCTTCATTGAGATATTGCAAAGGAATTGTTGGATTTAACATATATCAATGGAGTTTATGCATGTGTATGATACCTTTGATTTGTTGCTTCCAGGAATGGAAATTATCTTCATCTAGTTTGAGCGTGATTTGTTGTGCAAACGTCTTTAAAGATGTTCTTTGAGTTGAGACAATACCATATTACAAAGAGAGAAATTAAAGTAGAGAGATAGTTTATATTTATATTATTTGACATTTTCAAATGAGAGTTAGTTACACAATTCATGAATGTGCATTTATATGATGTAACTATGTGTTGACTCAACACCCAATTAATTACACTTTGTTATAGTTTGTAATAAGTCTGGTAGAGGCTGTTTGGCTAGACTACACTAGCAGAATCTCTTCTAAATTATATTTTTGTCTTGATGCTTCATCCAGAGGTACTGTTTAATGTGTCATGGTCCTTTTTACATATTGTTGATAACATATTAACAGGCAAGCTCCTTATATTCGTTTGTCCTCAGAAGACTCTTTCAAAGAATTTGAACCATCTTCAGCTCCAATGGATTCATCCACAGGCATATCTGCAAACCCTTTGGAAGAAATTAGTAAATTTAGCAGCTCGAAATGCACAAACCTATAATTAAAATTTTATTTATCATGGTAAATTTTTAAAAACTTTATAAACATTTGAAACTATGTCTGAATCTTTATCTTAACCACCTGTGGGTAATATTTAAGCGGTCAACACAGAAAAATATGATAAGACTGAATGGAGAGTGACCAACCAAATTTCATTACAGAAAAAACACATGAAAATGAATGTTAGTGCAATTTTATACCATTATTACTAACAGAAATTTAATATGATATGTCTTCTCAATGCAAAATTCAATGTGAAAGTTCCACAAAAAATAATGAAAATCTAGCTCTCTGGCACCTTCAATTTGATATTAAACTTTATTTGGTCTCTAAAAGTCTTTCTCTAAAACTGGAATAAAAGCAGAAGGCAAAAAGTGTTTATATGCACACAAGGATTTTCCTCATTCAGGCCTGTCTAAATGACCATATCGTCTTTGCCAGTATTGTGAAGCTTCATATCGTGTTCTGAAATTCCAGATGTGTGGCTTTGATTTCTCGTGAGCTTCGAGGATTTCCTGCATGCAGACATACAACTTGTTAATCCAAGAAAATGTGTAAAGTTGTTTGAGGAAAAACACAATTCAAGAGTGTTGTTCTCATTAAACTACTTGTAAATTATGATTATATTAAATTTATATGTAGTTCTAAAATTGACTAACTATAGTTTTATAATTGTGATTGGGCCTAACTCAACCTTACAAAATCAGCTTGTAAGGCGAGGATTGTCCCACTTATAAACATATATTCAGACCATATATTGTCTGATGTGGAACTCTTAACATATAGTAACTAGTAGTAAAAAAAATTAACTGCCGCTAACAACTAACTGATAACTAACATAACTATAATCAAAGAAATTAACCTTTATTATAATCTGCAATAAAAACATAGATAAACTACCATGCCTGATCAGTTAAACCATGCAACTGGTGCATGGTAAAATGATGGATATAAAAACAAGAGCAACATTAAAGAGCTCTTGTCAATTTCATAGTGCTTTCACCATTCACAGAAGAGCAATAAGGGCATCATATAGAAAGACAAAAGTAGAAATGAAGAGACTTTGTAATAAGACAGAGTTGAAATGGTAGTTTCTTAACTCTCTTCTAGCAACAAACATGAAACAACAAAATGGCAAAATTTTAGTACAAACAGCAAGGCACCCCTATATTGATGATTTTAAGCATTGCACTGTCAAATATCCATTTTACGATCTCGGTTTTGCTCTTTCAGGCTACAAGAACACACACATTCACTCGGTGGGAAATATGTTGAGGTATCCAATACATGAAGGACGCAACCACACAGCATATCAATTGTTCTATTGAGGTAATCAAACAGCAGAATAATTTGTGGGAATAATCAAGAGTCAAGACATGCAATGGGGTGGTATCTGACTTTCTGTGCGCCAGCAAGGTGGCAAATATGTTGTGCAAAATCCTCCAAGCCCACATAAAAAAAATGCACTGTGGCTATAACATCCATACAAATAGAGTTGGAAAACAAAAATAGCAAAACCACGCATACTCTTCAATTTTCCCAAACACAAGCAAAGGTGCTCTCAAATACAGCAAAGAGGACCATGTTCAAAGAATATTTAACCCAATGTATTTAAACATTTTCAACATATATCAGCTACAAATTAATGAGGAAGAAATAGGAACCAACCTCGACTTGAGAACTGGGTTTGGTCTTGAGCATTAAGCAGTCAACCATTGCTTTCCATTTACCAGAACAGTTATCAAGAACACCAAGCCTGTAATACTGCTGCATTTGATGAACCGGGGCTGCATACATTAAACACACAACCTGTATCAGTACTGGGATGGATGACCCATATGAAAAAGAGGCATTTTTTAAGTTTTGAGTGAATGGCGATTACAGTAGCAGAACCAGAGGGCATCAAAGTGAGCAGTGCACGATAGTCTGCGTTTCTCTTTGGAGCTTGAAGCTTCCTTCTCTGACGACATAACTGCAACTATCTGAAAATTGAAGCATCCAATAGCTTATTAGATTTTGGGGCTTTACAAAACAATCTCCCAAAAACCCTAGATCTAATGTTTTTGTTGAACAATGACAACAAATTAATGGACAATAGCCAACGATATAGGTAGACCCATCACGCAACAATGCGGACAATAAATGACATTTGTTGGGGGACCCATCATAACAGCAAAACCCAATAAAGAAACACTTGTTGGGTGGGTACGAGTAACACGGTTCAAAAATTATTCTTTTACATAAAGCCAATAAGGGTATGTGACTTGTGAACAACTTTCCATGTTTAAAACTAAAACCACAATAATAAAGATATCTTAGTAAAAGTGATAGAAACCAACGGTGCACAATAGAACAGGATTATAGAGAAAAGGAAATTGTAAGGAACTTGCGATTTTTTTATTGATAAAACAAAGGAAATATAATTTGAAAAACTACAAGAGCAGTTTGCTCTCTCAGAAGATAACTTCTTGTGGCTTAATAACATATAAACTTCCCACATAACATAAAAGACAATAAACGAACAAACTTAAATACAATTCACAATATCAGCCAATAACTAACTATTTGAATTTAAACTAACACTGTGATATTAATTACTTATTTATTTTATTTCTCCTTTGATAAACCCTCCAAATGACGAGTTTACCCTTCTCCTTAGTATGTGCGCTATCATTGCCGCCTCCAAGAGAAACAGCTTTGTCCTCAAGGCTGAAAGAAGGAAATTGAACAATGATGAAGTCCTTATCTTCTCAAATAACGTCCTCAATAGGCTTGTTCTTCCAATGGATAAGCATTTGAGAAATAGATATACCATGTCGGACCATTGTCCGTTAATCTAAAGATGTCTCTGGTTCCCACATGGGATCTTCATTAACCTCTAAACTAGCGGGAAGAGTTGGATTAACAACAGCATCACCAACCGCTTTCTTAAGCAAGGAAACATGGAAAATAGGATGTATATGAGATGTAGGAGGTAACTCCAACCTGTAAGCAACAGTTCCAACACATTCAATCACCTTAAACGGAGCAAAATACCTTGGAGACAACTTGGGACAGATTCTAGCCGCAACAGATTGTTGCACATGAGGTCTGAGCTTCAAGGAAACCAAGTCACCAACTTCTAAAGAGAGTTCTTTGCAATGTTTATCTGCTTGTGTCTTCATCCGGTCACAAGCACGTGATAGATGATGCTTCAGTTGTCGCAAGCATTCATCACGATCAGCCAAGTCTCGTTGAACAGCCTCCGCCTTAACTCCGCCCGGTAAATAATTAGTGATTACCGGAGGGGAATGACCATACACCACTTCCAATGGAGTTGTACCTATAGAAGCATGAAAAGTATTGTACCAATATTCTGCCCAAGAAAGCCACATGACCCACGTCTTAGGCTGGTCAGCAATAAAATAGCGAAGAAAAGTCTTCAGACAACGGTTAACTACTTTTGTCTGACCATCAGTCTGAGAGTGGTATGCAGTGCTGAGCTTCAAATGTGTACCTTGCTGTTTAAAGAGTTCCTGCCGGAAATTACTAACAAAGATGGATCTCTGTCACTCACAATAGATTCCGGAATTCCATGAAGTCGGACCACTTCTTTGGCGAAAGTTTCAGCCAAAGATCTTCAGAATAGGGTCGCTTAAGAAGGATGAAATGAGCATATTTGGACAGCCTGTCTACCACCACAAAAATAGCTTCGAAACCCTTGGACTTTGGAAGACCAGTAATGAAGTCCATAGAAATATCTGCCCACACTTGATTAGGTATTGGAAGTGGCTGGAGAAGACCACCTGGTATTGAAGTTGCATACTTGTTGCATTGACAGACAATAGATTTCTGCACAAAATTCTGGATATCCTTCTTCATACCAATCCAATACAAATTAGCAGCCAAACGGCGATAAGTGCGATAAAACCCGGAATGCCCATTCTGAGGGGTACTGGGAAATTCCTTGAGAATTGTAGGAACAAAAGTAAATGAAGCAGACATAACTAATCTGTCCTAATACAAAAGAACCCCATTTTGTAGTGCAAACCCAGGTCTTGTGGTTTCCCTCTTTTGTAAAGCCGAAATGATTGCCTGTAAAGTTGGATCCTGCTGTACCTCGTCATGGACAGCCTTGAAATCTAACCATTCAAGACGGAAAATCATAGAATGATGAAGTGTTAACCTGTCATCTGAATTAGCAAGGACTACCATGGTGTTGTTTGGGGAAGTATCAAACTGACGGGACAACGCATTAGCACCATTGTTCTCAAGACCAGGTTTATAAACTACATCAAATTGATATCCCAAAAGCTTAGCCACCCAATTTTGTTGATCCATTATGGTTAGACGTTGCTGCATTAATTGTTTCAAACTCTTTTGATCTGTGCACACCGTGAACTTGTTCCCTATGAGATATGGGCGACAATGTTGGATAGCGAGCACCGCGACCATTAACTCTTTTTCATATGCTGATTTGTTCAAATTGCAATCACTGATGATAGAAGATCATAATGCAGAGAGAGAGAATAGTTTGTGAAACTCTCATTGTATTTCTTGATTCAAATGATACAATGAATTCTCTATATATAAAGTAGGAGCCGTAACTAACTGTAACAAACTAATACAGAATAATTAACATGTACAGCTCATCAATTATAACAATTGAAACTAATCTCTATTTACACTATATCTATCATTCCCCCTTAGAAGCTGAGAGGGTGCTTGACAAGTCACTCTTGTTGAACACTCTATCTTGTCACACAAAGGCACAAACTTAGCTGCAGACTGAGGTTTGCTCAAGGCATCAGCCCATTGATCCTAAGCTGGAACATGTGCTACAATAAGACTCTTGCTGAGGACTTTCTCACGCACAAAGAAAATATATAGCTCCATATGTTTGGTCCTGTTGTGAAGAACAGGATTATGAGCAAGAGTAATTATACTCAAATTATCACACAAAATCTTAGGCACCTCGGAAGGACAGTGTAGTTCCTTGAGTAAATACTGAATCCAGATTAGTTCAGCAGCCAACTGAGCCATGCTACGATACTTTGCTTCTGCACTGGGTCGAGCTACAAGCTGCTGCTTTTTAGACCACCAAGAAACCACATTAGGGCCTAGAAAAAACACACGCTCCTGAAGTGGACCTTCTGTCATCAGGGTCTGATGCCCAGTCAGCATCACAAAACCCTAGCAACTGTAATGGCTGCTGAGTAGAGGTGGGTTGAATAAGGAGGCCATGCTGAGGAGTGCCACTTAAATATCTTAAAATTCTTTTAACTGCCTTCCAATGTTCCTCCAAGGGATTGGACAAAAACTAGCAAACTTTGTTAACTGAAAATGAGATTTCAAGCCTAGTTAATGTTACATACTACAAAGCACCAACAACTGATCTGAATTGTGTAGGATCACCTACAGCAGTAGAACCTATTTTGGAGAGCTTACTGCTTGAAATCATAGGAGTAGGCATGCTATTTGCATTCGGCATGTTCACCTTGGCCAGTAAGTCAGTGATATACTTTGTTTGAGAAAGAAGTAAGGACCCATTAGACAGATGGGTGACCTCAATGCCTAGGAAATAATCCAGCTTGCCCAACTGCTTTAGAGAGAATTTGTCATTGAGATGCTTAATCAAAGACTCTAAAAATGAGGTATAATTGCTTATGATGATTATATCATCAACATAGACAAGGATCATGATCTGTAGACTGCCATGATTAAGCAAAAATAGGCTTGGATCACACCTGCTAGCTTGAAACCCGTGCTGAATAAGAGCACTCTTAAGTTTGTCAAACCAGACCCTGGGAGACTGTTTTAACCCATAGATGGCTTTGTTCAACCTATACACAAGAGACTTATCAGATGCTTCAAACCCAAGAGGTTGTTGCATAAACACTTCCTCCTCAAGAGTGCCATTTAGAAAGGCATTATTGACATCAATTTGCTGAATAGTCCAGTTGTTGGTGACTGCAAGAGTTAACACAATCCCGACTGTTACAGGCTTAACCACAGGTGAGAATGTTTCAGTGAAATCACTTCCAACCTTTTGATGAAACCCTTAGGCCACCAGCCTGGCCTTGTATTTGTTTATGGAACCATCAAGATTCTGTTATAACCTAAAGACACATTTGCAGCCAGTGGGCTTCCTAGAACCAGATGACTTTACCAATGTCTAGGTCTGATTTCTCAGCAGAGCCTGATACTCTTCCTGCATTGCCTGAAACCAGTTAGGAGCAGTCAAAGCTTGGTCTACTGATGTTGTTTCCATATGTGTAAGTAACAGGGTCGGATGAAGTCTGGGTAGTGTAATGCCTCTTTTAGATCTAGTTTGCATAGGATGAACATTTAAAGGATTAATAAAGGGTTAAGATGAAGTGGAATTGACAGGGCTAGGTGCAGAAGAGAGAGTTTGGGATGAAGAGGGAGAGAAAGTGCTGGCTTCTGCAAGATCAGATAGGATAAGAGCAAGAGTGGAAGTAGAAGATGAATTGAGTGTGTTAGGAGTAACATTAAGGCCAGAAGAAGCAAAAGTTGGTAAGAGACTGAGAGTGGGGACAGAAGCAGAAGTAGATCGGACAAATGGTTGAGGATTGGCTGAAAAAGAGGAGGAGAGACGGTTATCCTGACTTGGAACAGAAGTAGTGAAAACTGGTGGCATAGACCAAGCTGACACAGGGGAAGAAGATGAGGCTGGAGTGGATTGAGAATTAATAGAAAACATAGTGGAGTAAGGAAATTTTGCCACTGCTTCATATTTCAATAGTTAAATGATTTTTGAACAAATTCCTGTTAAAGAGTTCAATCAACCCCAATCCTAAATCATAGTAACAGCACAACAGAGTTTAGCTGCTGCTACAACCTAAAACTACTCCATCCGAATTCTATATGAAACATGTCAAAATGAGCACAAATCACACTAAACCAGATTACATTGACCTAGTTATGCAGAATAGTTTAGTACTACCATAATCTTTCAGAATGTAGATACAAGTAAACAACAAAAATCAACATACAAGACCCATAAAAAAGATTCAACTTCAGAGACAAATTAATTTTACGATTTTTTTCTCTCAGTAGTGATGATAATAATAAATCTATAAGTTTCAAAGAACATCTTCTTTTCAATCTATCAGTAAAGACTACAGAAAAAAGTGTAACAACCATACCTCGACTGAGAACAATTTGCGAGGCGATGGATTCCGAGGAGACGACGACGAAGAGGATTTCGCTAATTTTGAGAACGGCGAGGGTCTAACCGGTTCAACCTTAAACCGCACTACTTAACGATTGGTCCAATTTTAAAATCGAATATAACTAAAAGCCTGTTTAAACCGCAGCGAAACGGCAAAATCTGTCAAAGTTAATGAAGCGGCGGTATAGCGTTCAAGTAAACAAAATTTTAAACTTTTCTAATGAAAATATTACACAAAGTTAGAAATGTGAAATTGCAGTACCACTTACTTTCTATTTATAAGATTTAGGTGTGTTATTCTCATAATTAAAAAGTGAGAATCTAAAATTTCTATGAGAATAAACTTAATTATCTATTACTTTTCATTTCTATTCATTATTTTTATTTTTTATAATTTTTAAATTAAATTAATGTATAAATATTTCTAAAAACTTTAATTTTTGTCCAAACATATAAATAAAAATATTATTTTTAGAAATAATAATCTCAAAAATATAATTTCAAGAAATATACTTATAACTTGAAACAAAGACACATAGAGAATTTGATTTTTATTTGCTAAGCATAGTAGGAAGTTATAAAAAATCCAAAATAACCTGCACATCAAGTCTTTAACTTTAAATGTAATTTTTTAAAGAAATTTTTTAGAGAAATCAAAAAGTTAAAAAAAATTATTTTAGAAGGATGATTTTCTAGAGTGACGAAACTAATATTTTAAAAATCGAATTGAATCATCCGGTTGAATCAGTTCAACCTTAAATCATTATTTAATTGGGTTCACTTTGGACCATTAAAAATTTAAATTCATAAAATCAGAATAAAACTACTTTAATTGCGAAAAATAAAAATAACGGTAAAATTAGGACCAATTTTAGTGAACCAGACTGTTCAAAAAATCAAAGATAATTTTTTTTGTTTTACTTCATTTGCTTTCTTTGTTTAAATCTAAAGAATAAAAAACATTTAAAATTGTATAGATGAAAAATAAAAAATAAAGTTAGAAGGCATGATAGAATGTAAATGCAAATAGAAAGTGAAGAAATAATATAATATTTGTGGATATGTAGTAACTTATGTTGATATTGAAAGAGATGAGAAAAATTAAATTAATTAGGACAAATATATAAATATTGATCCTTAACTAATTTTCTAATTTTTTATTGGGCTTTACATATTTTTCTTCTTTTGTAAACTTGTTTATTAGTAGTGTATTTATTTGAGAATTTTATTTTATAAATTATTATATAAATTAATTTTATTAAAATGTTAAATAATATACTTATTTATTTATTAGTTTAAATTTAATATATAGTTCATTTGCAGTTTAATCAGTTGAACCGATGAACCTTAATTCATATGTTTTAACGCTTCTTTCTTCAATTTAATTTTTAAAATATTGGACGAAATATAAAATTGTCTAACTAAAAAAATCTATTATTTTTAGACTTTCTTTTTAAACATTGTTGGACAATATACTATTATTTATTTCTTTTTCCTTTAAACTTAGACATTTAAAAAATTAAACTATTGTAGTGAAATAAAAAATAATAATTTTCTTTTTTTTAATCAATTTTTCTTTTTAATATGTAAAAGTAGATTGATTTTTATTTTTCTTTTCTATTTTTATTATTTTCTCCCCTAATTTTCTATTGAACTTTTTTTCAAACATTCCTTGCATTTTATATATTTTTAAAATGCAAGGAATATTTTAGCCACTCTTACTTAGGTTGTTGTGGTATGTAATATGTCTTATGTCAGATAATATGGTTTTGCCAGACTCATAAATCATTTGATGTCATTTGAGAAATAGATTTTTAATAAAATTGATACTAATAAAGCTTTGAGGTGTCTTATTAGGGATTGACAATCAAAGGTCACCGCGATCAAAGAAACTAATGATCTTATAATACTAGACCTGACTACATGTTTGGTAAGTTTGAAGAACGTGAGCAAGAATTCACTTGCTTAGAGAAACATGAGAAAAAGCATGAGAAGAACCTAAAAAAAGAGAAAGACAAGAATAAAGAGGTAGAGAAGAAGTTTAGTGCTCTAAAGGCTTTTAATTTGAGGTCCTAAACAAATGAGCAAAGTGATAGTAATGATAGTGACAATGTGACATACTATCAAAATAGGTACGCGCGTGAAGTGCTAGCAAGGTTTGGTATGGGAGACACTAATGTAGTGAGAAATTCTGTAATGTGAGGTACAAAGTTGTCTACGGACGAAGGAGGGGTTAGATTTAATGAAATTCTATTTAAACAAGACTTGATTCGATGTATGGTATTAGTTTGATAAGTAAATCCATGCCCAATTCCGAATATACCACATTGGCTTGCAGCAAAAATGATTTTAAGGTATTTAATAAGTACAACTGGTCTTGGAATTTTTTTTATAAGAAAGGAGAAAGCAACTTGAAACTCACAACCTTTACAAATATATATTATGCTAGAGACGTAGATGATCAGAGAAGTACCTTTAGGTTTGTGTTTATGATGAGAGTAACACTCCAAATTTGATTAATTGATTTAATTGAATTGTTTATGTATTTAAATTATATATTTTAATTAAAATAAATTATACGTTTATACACATTGTTGGAGTGTAATGGCATTGGTAGGATGTGGTCATAATATGCGTGTTTAGTAGAATAATTAAAAATAACTAAAATATTAATATTTTAATTAATTAAAATAGAATAAAAAATTATATTTAATATTAAAAATAAATATAGAAATTGGTGGCTTGGATTATTTAATAATTATTAATTAAGTTAAAAGAAAGAGTTAGTAGAGGAATAAGGGGTAAGGTGAAAAATATGGAGAATAACAGGGTAATAAGAGAATTACCTAAATAGCTAGAATTAAGTTTTATTATAAATAAAAAAAGTACGGAGAATTTGGAAGAATTTTATGGTACATGCGAAATAATAGTTGGGAGAAAAAGTCAAGGCTAGGGCTTGAAGAGATAGAAGATTGTATTGTTTCTAGACTTGCTTTTTGGATGAAAAATCTAAGATAAGAGGACAAAACCATCTCAATAACGGATATAATGCATGAGGGGTATAATTGAAGAGTCCTTAACATCCGATAGGACATTGAGTTTTGATTTAATTTTGTAAATTGGTATAGATTTGATGATATGTGTTATGATTATTTGATGAAATTTGTATACTTTAATTAATGATAATTTATGTTTTGATGTGTTAATATATTTTCACCATTGTTGAGAGTTTGGTCCTTTTGAAACTTTTGGGATAAATACAAAAATATGAAAACACATAATTTTGTTGATAATGATCTGTGATAAATTGTGAATTTTTTTATTTTAATCATTGAATAATTGGTGTATGTCAAATTTTGAGACCAAAACTTTTTAACAAAGTCGAAATCGGAGATCTGAAAGGGCTTCTATGGTAGAAAATGCAAAAAAGTAAATTATAGATATTTATCCACGAATTCTGGGACTTAGCAACAAACTTGTTATGGGAAAACCCAGTTCTGGGTGAATCCACCAACCCTCATGACTTCCACTATGTCTAACGAAAAATATCATAACGTGAAATCAGTGACTCTGTTTGAGACGTTGTTTGAACTGTTGGAAAGCTAATGCGTAGTACTATCTCATAATGATACCATATGAAGTTGAATGTGCACTTAATGATGTAATTATACTGTTTTAATTAAGGTGTAATGACGGTGGCTATGTTTTTAGTTGTTGAGTTGGATATTATGTGTTATGTTATTGTACGATGACAAGTGTTATAATAGGGTCTGGAGTTGTTTCTTGATCCTCAAATAAACAAATAGTAATTGCACTTTCGGCTACAATAGCAGAGTACATAGTAGCAACATTGTGTGTTTGTCAGTGTATTTGGCTCAAAAAGGTGCAGGAGAAACTTAGAGTTAAAGAGAAGACAAGAACAATAATTACGTGTGATTATAGCTCCACTATACAATTATCCAAGAATCCAGTGTTTCATGAAAAAAAAACAAGCATATCAATATAAGGTGTCATTTCTTAATAGACTTGATGAATGATGGATTCGTCGAACTAAGTTACTATCACTCTCAAGGCACGAAAAAACATACCACCACAAGATTCATAATCGCAAACACCTTAACATTCACACAAAGCATCCTGATTATAAAGCATCCTTGTTTTGAATAATTTGTCACCAATTACACTAAATCTTCATGCTGTTCCATATTCCTAATGAATCTAACTCACCTTTTTTCTCAGGTTTATCATCTTCCGTAACCGCAGAACATCATAAAACAAGACCACAAAATTCTATCAGTTCTTCCTTAGAACAAGGATATGCTGTTAATAGAAGACAACTGATTCTTTACACTTCAACAGCAGCAATTGCAGCTTCATCTACTGTCTCAAATGCATTGGCACTCAATGGTGATATTAATTGTTATCTTAAACTTTGTATTATTACTGCATTGATAATGGTTAGTAATTAGTATCATGGTGAATTGAATTGAAGTGCAAGTTTGGAAGAAATTATAGATACATTCAAGTTCAATTTAGAGGTTTAAAATTGGTTATGTACTTTGTTTTTGTTTTACTGGTTTGGACTAGAGTGGCAATCAGGAACAGGAGAATCTGCTGGATTTAAATCACTAACGGCTTTCTATCCAAAAGAGCAATCTAATTCCAATGGTATAATCAGATTCTCCTTAAATCATTTGTTTCTTCATCAGTTGCAAACTGCAACGTATCCGTTATAAAACTGGTTGCTAACCTTCGATATGCTGCTTCAGTGAGCGTTGTGATCACGGGGGTAGGACCGGATTTCACTAAGATGGAATCGTTTGGCAAAGTTGAAGAATTTGCTGACACTCTGGTGGATTGGACAGAAGCTGGAAAAAACCACCTGGTGTGGCTTCTAAAATCATAGACTGTAAATCATCTAAAGGTGCTTACTTTTACGTTTAAATTTTATTGAAAGTTGTTACATTACATTACATATAATAAGGCTGTAACTGTAAAGGAAAGAAAATATGTTATAGGTTCTACGTATAGTTCTGATAAATGCTTAATGAGACAGAAAGAGACTTCATAAAACTGAAATTATAGGTGAATTTTGAAGTTTTGAATGCTTAATTTGACTAAAAAATAGTTCAGGATTTTATTTCATTGAGTATACACTGCAAAGTCCTGGCGAGAGTCGCAAGCATCTATATTCAGCTATTGGGATGTTAACTAATGGCTGGTATAACAGACTGTATACAGTAACAGGACAGGTACTGTTAGATATATTACAATGTTTGTGTGTGTGTGTTTGATGTTTCATTCTAGAGCTAAATGTTGATTAGTAATGATTCTTATCTTGTTCATACATGCAGTATGGAGATGAGGAAACAGACAAGTATGCTTCCATAATTCAAAAGGTTAACTTCTTTTCATACTTTGACATGCTGGTATTTAGTTTATGCGATAATGCAGCATAGTCTTTGGTTAATGGTTCTCAGAAGACTAGCTGTGAGAAGTCTTATTTTCTCTTTCGATTCGAAGACGGAGGACAGGGAAAGGATTTCAAGTGCTCTTGTTGAGCAGGTGATCATTTTGGGTTCCTACTACAACATTCAGATTTTTTCCGAGATGGAAGGTTTGTTTGGAATCAAGGTTCCCGTTGGGTGCGAATTTGTGTCTGTTACAAGAAAAGGAATCTGAGATTTTTGGTTCTTTATTCAAGGAAGAGGTAAATTGGTGGAATAGGTGGTTCTCGGAGGTAAGGAAGTGGAGCGAGGGCGAGGTAGATGACAAGAGATTAATTTAGATTCGAGTCTTTGGTATTCCGGTCCATGGATGGCATGCTGATTTCTTCGTAAAGTTGGCCAATTCTTTTGGTACTTTTGTTAGCATTGATGAAGCCCCTGTCTCTGGATCTTCTTTGGAAGTGGCTCGAATCCAGTTGACAGTTCCTTTTGCATTCAAGCTGTCAGAGCACATCATTGTAGAGATTGATGGCAAGTGTTTTGATCTTTTGATTAAGGAATAATTATGCAGACCGTATCCGCAGATTTCAGGTAACTCTTCTTCTGAAGTTACTGGTTCAGAATCTTTGGATCTTAATGTTGGTTGGTCGTTGGATGGTTTTGAGGATCTTGATGCCTCTATTAATATAGAAGATACGGACAATATTGAGGAATTTTTAAATCATGTTGGTTCTGCTGAATTTGAGTCTAGAATCAGGTTGGAACTGTAGGGCATCAGGAGCTCCCGAATGTTTGCTTGAATGTTGTTTTGAGAGATATCGTGTCGTTTGATGAAGCGGTTTGCAACGTCAAGGATGGTTCCAAGGTAATTGTTGAGAGGGAGGAGGAGTGTGCCAAGCTTTCGGATTCTGCAGTGGCGTGTTCAGTTCCTCATTCGAACAAGAAAGTTAGGTGTAAGGTTATGAAACAGAAATCGATGGCGGAGTTAGGAGGTCCTCTTTCAAGAGGAGTTCTGAAATCAATGCGTAAGGTGAAAAGAAGCAGTTTATTGCGGTTAGTCACTCCTATAAATACTCTTCATTCTAAATTCCTAACCATCCCAACACCATATGAAGAAACCCCCCATACCATGACGACACATTAATTTTCATGACTTGGACGATACCAAATTCCCAATAACAGGCCGAATCGCAATCTGTTAGGATTAAGTGGAATCGACAATCTTACTTGTAAATGGATTTAAATGCATATATGTAGATAGATGAGTTTCATGAATATAATGCGACAGAAAATATAATGCGACAAAAAATGAATGAAAAGGAGGGTTACCTTTTGCTGATATAACACCTCCAGTAGTACATCCAGCAATAGCAGTATTTGTGATGTCGTGTTTTGCTCGTGCTTGAAAGAAAAAAAAGGACCCAGATGATAGGAAGAAGAATTAAACTCACATGCTTGATGGGAAGAAGAATTAAACCCAGATGTAAAGCATGTTAATTCCTATTAGATTAATCTATTCACAATCCAATTGCTCAACTTCGTAAAAAATCAAAGCATAAAAGCTCAAAAACAATGGAGTTTGATGTTATGTTACCTCTTTGAACACTAGAAGAAGATGAAGAGGAAAAGTAATGATGTTGTCCGGAGAAGAGGAAGGGCACGGTGAGAGGACAGCCGGAGGAGATCGTGGATGGAAGATCACCGGTCAGAAGAGAGGAGGCGCACAGGCAGAGGGAGTATCAAAGAGATACGGATGTCGCACAGTGGTGGACTGGTGGTGGACGGTAGGTGGTGCAAGTGAACAATAAACCCTACATTTTAATTTTTATTTTTAATTATTGAAATATATATATATATATATATATATATATATATATATATATATATATATATATATATATATATATATATATATATATATATAGGGATAGTTTTGTAATTTAACATATAAGCGGGTGTAGTTTCGGGTTTCGGGTGCAGGTTTAAGCTATCCCAAACCCACACCCGAAATATCGGGTGGCACCCGAACCCGAACCCAAACCCAGTCAATTCGGGTTTCACCCGTTGACTCGGGTGCGGGTGCGGGTGGGGCCCGCGGGTTTGGGTCTGCTTTCCATCCCTAGATATAATGCATGAGGGGTATAATTGAAGAGTCCTTAACCTCCGATAGGACATTGAGTTTTGATTTAATTTTGTAAATTGGTATAGATTTGATGATATGTGTTATGATTATTTGATGAAATTTGTATACTTTAATTAATGATAATTTATGTTTTGATGTGTTAATATATTTTTACCATTGTTGAGAGTTTGGTCCTTTTGAAGCTTTTGGGATAAATACAAAAATATGAAAACACATAATTTTGTTGATAATGATCTGTGATAAATTGTGAATTTTTTTATTTTAATCATTGAATAATTGTTGTATGTCAAATTTTGAGACCAAAACTTTTTAACAAAGTCGAAATCGGAGATCTGAAAGGGCTTATATGGTGGAAAATGCAAAAAAGTAAATTATAGATATTTATCCACGAATTTTGGGACTTAGCAGCAAACTTGTTATGGGAAAACCCAGTTCTGGGTGAATCCACCAACCCTCATGACTTCCACTATGTTTAACGAAAAATATCATAACGTGAAATCAGTGACTCTGTTTGAGACGTTGTTTGAACGGTTGGAAAGCTAATGCGTAGTACTATCTCATAATGATACCATATGAAGTTGAATGTGCACTTAATGATGTAATTATATTGTTTTAATTAAGGTGTAATGACAGTGGCTATGTTTTTAGTTGTTGAGTTGGATATTATGTGTTATGTTATTGTACGATGACAAGTGTTATAATGGGGTCTGGAGTTGTTTCTTGATCCTCAAATAAACAAATAGTAATTGCACTTTCGGCTACAATAGCAGAGTACATAGTAGCAACATTGTGTGTTTGTCAGTGTATTTGGCTCAAAAAGGTGCAGGAGAAACTTAGAGTTAAAGAGAAGACAAGAACAATAATTACGTGTGATTATAGCTCCACTATACAATTATCCAAGAATCCAGTGTTTCATGAAAAAAAACAAGCATATCAATAAAGGTGTCATTTCTTAATAGACTTGATGAATGATGGATTCGTCGAACTAAGTTACTACCACTCTCAAGACCAAATTGCATATATCATATGACAAAATTAATAAAATTGGAGTAGTTTGAGAAGCTCCGTGTCATGCTTGGAGTAACTAAAGCTACTAAAGTAAGTTAGATGCAAATCCATCAGCTTAAAGGAGAGAATGTTAGAGATTATTTATTATATTTATTAGTATTTATTTTGTTATCAAGTCCTAAAATTTAGGAAGAATATATCAGTTACGAAGTTCTAGTTTTAAGAAATCAATTTATTTGTTCCAGTTTCTTAGTAGCCACGTTGTAGGCTTGTAGAAGTAGGTTTTGCCACTTTTTTGTATGTGAAAAGGTTATAAACATCCCTTATTTGTTCTATCCAAAACAATTTTTCTTTCCGCTATCTCTTAGTCTTCAAGCTTTAATAAATTCTAATTTCCTCACATGTTCTTCTATGTGTTAAACACTATGATGCTGCAACAGATTATCACATACATCATTAAACCATAATTCATGCATGAATCATGTCATTTAAAATCGTTGAGCTATTTACACACAAAATTTTCATTAAAATATTTACTTGCAAATTTCATTGCATTCAATTTTTCTTCCTCTTATGGTTTGTCACATTTCTAATAAACCTTCAAACGTCATGTTTCACCGCAACAATAGGTAAACTCAATGTTCTTTGAGTAGCCACCATTAACTTCCCTAAAATTTGAGTGTTATGATATCAGTTTTTTGAAATTGATACCTGTTATACCCTAAAAAATTTCCTCTCATTTCTCAAAGGATCAACCTGGACCCTCAAGTTTGCTTCTATCCAATTGCAAATCTGAAATTACAAATTTTCCAAGAGAATCGTTCATAAGGGCAAAATGATCATTTACACACCAAAGGAGTCAAACTATGACTTTTGAATCAAAAATCAAGTTCCAAGAATCATATTTCATTAAGGCATGAAATTGGTTCATCAAAAATCAAAAGTCAGAAGTTACTTTGAAAATCAAATTTTCTAAACATTTAGAAAAATTTCTAAGTGTCTAGAGAAATGACACTTCAGAACTTCTGAGCCAGCCTCTATGCAAGTGCAGTCAGAAGTTGAAAACACGGTTCATAACATGACGCTTCAATCAGAACATGCAGAAGCGATGCTCTTTGGTCAGACCATGATGCTTCAGTCAGAACATGATTCTTCAGCATATGGAGGCTATGTTCAACGCTTCGGTCAGAAGATGCCCCTTCAGCATTTAGAGGTTACATTTCTGATCTTCTGCAATCAGAACATCACCAAATCCCAAGACCTCGTTTAAACAACCTGCTACACTACTACAGTACAGTACTCTAACCAGCAGTTAATCCAGTCCACGCCTGCATTTTCCCAAATCTTGTGTTTGCACCAAATACAAAAAACTATGATCAAAAAGCAATGGAACAGTGTGCCAAAAGTTCAAATCCCATCTGTTTCCCCAAAAAAAACTACAAAAAATTCATCTATAAATAAGTGGCTCCATCACACTTGCAAGGTGCTAGATTTTTGGAGAGAGGGAATCATCAAAAGAGAAAAAAGAAATTTGTGGAACCCCTTTCATAAAAATCCAGAAATCCCAAATAGAAAACTAAACCTTTGTTTTTCCTTTTGAATCAAAGAGCTTGGCATTTCCCCTTCCGTTGCTCTTGCTGACTCAGAATATCTAAAGGCAGCAGTCCAAGTCCCAAACACACGCTCCAGGTTTAAGGTAAGTCTCTCTGACTCTGCATCTTCTCATTCAGAACATCATTAAACATGTAGATATCATAGTGTTGATATTGTCCATATCACTGCGTAAGTAGAAAAAACTATGGATCAGAACTTCCTGATTAAGGATAGGCTCAGGACCAGGATCAGAACTTCCATAAACGGTTGTGCTTTTATCCTTTTGATTTGTTGTTTGCTGAAAACTGAATAAGTTATCGTTGTGCTTATTGATATAGGGAAATATTTGAAATGCAACACATAACTTTTGTTCTTCACTCACACATAGAACTTCCATGATTCACTCATTGTTCTAACACAGTACAGAACTTCTGAGTTCTCCCTACATGTCAAACATATTGAACTTCTGATGTTTCCACTCGCTGTTTTTACACACTCAGAGTTTCTGATTTTTTTTACATGCTGACAATACTCTGAACTTCTGAGGTTTATTCACTGTTTTAGTGTAATACAGAACTTCTGACTTGTGGTCCACTGTCTGAATACCACCCAGAACTTTTGTGTTTCCTCTCTAATGTTCCTTGCAGGACCTCAGAGTTTACCCATCCAGAACTTCTGATACCCACTGATGTTTCCTCATGAGTCACAACGCGCCTGGCTTCAGAACTTCTGATCCTTGTTGCTCTGTTTGCAGCAGCACGTTGTTCCTATCTTTCATTTATTTTCCTTCTTATTATTTTTTATATTAAACCTTTTTTATTTGACATACAAATATTTTTCTTTTATTAATTTATTTCTTTTTTCATTAAGATAAAAAACATTTTCTAAACAAGTCTTTTTTCTTTCTTGTATTGTACATTTCAATATGGTTGTAATAGTAACTTATGATTTAATTTTATTTGCAACCCCCATTTGTAAATATGTACTCCCATCCCTAAAATATTTGTAATAGCATATGACTTTACATTTCTGCAATTTATCGCTTTCGAATGTAAATGCTAGTAATTAGAGTGTGTATGGAAAGACATGAAATTGACAAATAGATCACCCTAATTAAGACTAGATGTATGTAATCAAACACACTTTACACACATGCACCCTTAAGTTAATCTCAACTTGTTGCCTATCGAAAAATAGTCATGTCCCTCGAACATGGGCGTTTTAGCAAAAGACCCTCGATAAAAGATCGTAGTCCCTCGATGACCCTCGATGTTGCCTTCGATAAACAATCTAGTCCCTAAACGACATTGCTAAAACATCCCATAGGTTGCCTTCTATGACTATACAAACGTCCCACGCTCGTCCCTTCACATCCAACGACGGGGCTTCTTATCAAAACAATGGTAAGATATCAACATCTAAAGGAGGAGGAAAAGAACAATTAAGACCTTTTTGAGTAGGTAGATTCGCTCCTAGTTGCTCGCTTGCTCACAATAAAAACATTCTATACACCGACACTCTCACTTTGAAACATTTTCCAAAGAGAACACTTTATACGCGTTCTTATATAGACGAGAGGCATTACAAAGAAAGCCCTTTTCAAAATCACTTTCAAAAACACGTTCCACAAACACCTCTTTGAACTATTTTCAAAACAACACTCTGTGTGCATTCTTATAGAGACGAGAATCATTACAAAGTCACATTTTCAAAATAATTTCAAAAAATCCACATCACAAGCACACATTCAAACAAAAGCAAGTGATCTAGCAAGCAACTAAGAGCCCATGGAAAACCATGAATGAAAAGGGTGTTAATACCTTCCCTTTTTATAATCTACCCTCCGAACTCAAGAAAACATCTCTAAAGGTCTTTCCTGTGCTTTTTCACCTTTCCTTATTGGATAAAAGAAAAATCGATGACGACTCTTGATAAACCGCAACATTTACAAACACAAACGCAAACACCTCAAGTCAGTTCTCCCACTGTATCACAATACCAATAAGATAAATTTAATATAGATCGAGTTTCCCAGTTCTCCCTTTTAAAAAGTTCAAAAGTTTGATATCTCTTCCCAATAACCTCTTGTTAATCTTTAGAATAACATACAAATCTATGTTCTTCTTTTTTCACACATAATACATAACTAATTTAATAACTACTAACTTAATAACTATATGGACCAAATTGCCCTACCTTAATCCCATATCCCTTACAAGTTTTATGTTATGAGCATCGATATTTGACAAGGGAAACCTTCATTCATCATCTTTTGATGGCCTTGAACCTCTGGTACCACTTTGTGGAAATAAGTTCTTTTATGTTTAGAAAAAATGTGTTGGAATATTAGAGGCTTGAATAAAAATTTGATAAGTAGAAGAATTATTTATGGAAGAGAGTACTTTGTATTTTGGTTGATGCAAATGTGTGATATTACATATCTATTTATAATACTCTAAGGAGAACTCTAGACACACTAATTCTAGAGAGTTCTTAATCCTAGAAATCCCAAGAATATTCTAGAAAATACTACAATCATAAAAAATATATAGACACTCCAAACACTATAAGATTTCTCTAGAAACATTATCTAAAATTACTTAAGTCCAAAATAGCTAAGTCCAAAAAACCAAATAATAAAATTAGGTCCAAATCAAATTTATATTTCAACACCCTTTAAATAACAACTATGACAATTCTAGTATCAAGATGAAGGTACTACTAGGAGCTCAAATGTGTGGAATATTGCTGAGAAAAGGTTTCAAGGAGCAAGATGAAGCCTTACTAAGCTAAGGTGTAAAAGAGACGTTGGAAGAGTCAAGAAAGAGAGACAAAAAATATATTTTTCATTTATCAATCAGTGAATGAAGATACATTTGAAAAGATATCCAACACAATGATGTCCAAAGAAGCACGAGACAAGCTTCAAACTTGCAACAAAGGAATTGAGCATGTAAGAAATATTATCTTCAAACTCTTAGAGATGACTTTGAACGTTTGTTTATGGAAGAGTCCGAGTCAATTTTAAATTATTTTTCTCAAGTATTAGCCGTAGTCAACCTTAAAAGAAATGGTGAAGATGTTGATGAGGTAAAAGTCATGGAGAAAATACTTCGCACTTTAAATCCATGTTTTGACTTCATTGTCACCAATATTAAAGAAAGCTAGGATTTAAAGACTATGACTATTGAACACCTCATGAGTTCCTTAAAATCATATAAAAAAAACAAAAGAAAAAACTTAAACAAAAGGAGGCTATAAAGAAACTACTATAAGTCAACGCAAAGGAAGTAAACTATGCGAATTACAAAAGCCAAGAGGACGAGACCGTGCCCAAGATCACAGACGTGGACGAGGACATGAAGGAAAAGGAAAAGGCGACTACAACAAATACTCCAACAACTTCAACAATGTAGAAAGAAATTAGAATCTACAAGCAATAGGAGGTCAAAGAGAAAAAAAATCAAAATCAAGTGCTTTAACTGCAACAAGATTGGTCACTGTGCATCTGAGTGTAAATTCTCAAAGAAGGTTGAAGAGAAAGTTAACTTTGTAGAAGAAAAAGGCCTCGCGTGCCAAAATCAAGTTAAAGAGAAAAGAAATAAGTGGTATCTAAACACTGGTGCAAGAAATCATATGTACAGGGATCGAAGCATATTCGTAGAGATTAATGAAGCGACAACTGACGATGTCTCATTTGGAGATGACTTGAAGATAACATTCAAAGAAAAAGGTAAAACTCTCATACGCTTGAAGAATGAGAGTCATCAATTCATCTCCAATATCTACTATGTGCCTAATATAAAGAATAATATTTTGAATTTAGAACAATTATTAGAAAAAGGTTATGCCATCCACTTGAGAGAACATGGTCTTTTCTTAAGAGATTGTAGGCATAACTTGATTGCTAAGGTGCCTATGTCAAAAAATAGAATGTTGTTCTTGAACATTCAAAATGATGTGGCAAAGTGTCTCAAGGCTTACTATACTGATTCTTCGTAGCTATGACATCTACGATTCGGGAACCTCAATTTTGATGGTCTAAAACATTTGGCGAATAAGGATATGGTGAGAGTCTTACCTAGTACCAACCATCCAGACCAACTATACGAAGGAAGTCTAATTGAGAAACAATTGAGAAAAATCTTTCCTAAATAATCAATATCAAGAGTGACAAAGCTGCTAGAACTCATACAACTGATGTCTGTAAACCAATCAAACCCAATTCTTTTGGTAAGAATAAGTACTTTCTCCTCTTTATTGATGATTATTCTAGAAAAATATGGATTTATTTTTTGAAAAATAAATCATAAGTGTTTGAGAATTTTAAGAAGTTCAAAACCCTTGTGGAGAAAGAAAGTGGTATTTCTATTAAAGCGATGAAATCTAATCGAGAAGGAGAGTTCACTTCAAATGAATTCAACAAATATTGTGAAGACCATGAAATTTGTCACCCACTAACAATACCAAGATAGCCACAATAAAATGAAGTAGTAGAGAGAAAGAACCAAATCATACTTAACATGGTGTGAAGCATGCTCAAGAGCAAGAAGATGTCGGAGGAGTTTTAGACCAAAGCAGTGGCATATACAATTTACCTGACAAATCATTCCCCGACAAGAAGTGTACATGAAAAGACACCACAAAAAACATGGAGTGGAAGAAAGCCTGGGATCTCCCACCTTAAAGTGTTTGGAAGCATTGCATATATTCATGTTTCAGACGAAAGGAGAACAAAGCTTGATGATAAAAGTGAAAAATATGTGTTCGTGGATTATAACTCAAGCTCCAAAGGGTACAAGCTCTATAATCCTAATAGTAGAAAGATCATCATAAATCGCGACGTGAAGTTCGACAAAGAAGATTGTTGGGATTTGAGTGTTCAAGAAGACATGTATGATTTTATTCCTTACGTTGAAGAAGATGATGAAATAGAATAACCAATGATAGAAGAACAAAGTATAACACTACCTCATCGACACAAAGGTTAAATGAAACAAGTTCAAGTGAAAGGACACCACGACTAAGGAGCATTAAAGAGCTTTATGAAATAACCGAAAACCAAAACGAGATTAACCTTTTTTTATCTTTTTGGTGATTGTGGGCCTCTAAACTATCAAGAAGCGGCAGAGAACACTAAGTGAAAAGATGTCATAGATAAATAAGTCAAGTCAATCACAAATAATGATACACGGAAACTCACTACAGTTCCACGAAGACACAAAACAATCAAAGCAAGATGGGTGTATAAGGCGAAAAAGAATGCAAAAGAAGACATGGAGAGATACAAAGCAAGATTAAAAATGACACAAGAAGATCCTATAGAAATATGTGTTGACAATAAATCAACACTTACTTTGACAAAGAATCGTGTCTTTCATGAAAGAACTAAACATATTAACACCTGTTACCATTTCATAAAAGAATGCATTGTGAAAAAGGAGGTGAGGTTAAAACATGTAATGTCTCAAAATCAAACTGTCGATATTTTCACCAAGCCACTCAAGTTAGAAATTTTCGTGAAGCTAAGAAGTATGTCTGGAGTCACAAATCAAGTTTAAGGGGATGTTGAAATATAAATTTGATTTGGGCCTAACTTTATTATTTGGTATTTTGGACTTAGCTATTTTGGACTTAAATAATTTTGGATAATATTTCTAGAGAAATCTTGTAGTGTTTGGAGTGTCTAGATATTTTTTATAGTAATATTTTTCTAGAATACTCTTGAAATTTCTAGGGTTAAGAACTCTCTAAAATTAATGTGTCTAGAGTTCTTTTTAGAGTACTATAAATAAAAATGTTCACACAGTTACATCAAGTAAAACACAAAGTCCTCTATTCCATAAATAATTCTTCTACCTATCAAATTTATATTCAAGCCTCTAATATTCCCACACATTTTTCCTAAACATAAAAGACTTTATTTTCAAAAAAGGGTCTAACCTGACCCAGTACTCCCTCGTCTTAACTCGTGGGAGAATGTGTCGAGAATGTGTCGAGGCACATGTTAAGAGAATAAGTATTCGATCACAAATCTCATGACATAACTCAATCTCTTATTGTTCAAGATGTCTCGTCTCATTCATGAAAACTTTCATGATTAGATCAAAACCAAAAACGTGTGGCCAAATGTACGAGCATCATAACCAATCTGCACAACAACTTTTGGATCAAATAACCGTATCTATACCTCAGTTAGTTTGGATCGTTCATTCACTTTTTACATATCAAAATACATTAACATCTCTTGTGCATCTCATCACATGCTCACAAGCAGAGTAACCCCAATTATGCTAGTACACTATATATTACATGATACGTTTCGCAATAGTGCCATAACTAATAATTTAAAATATAATGTAAGTCATTGCTGTTCTTACATTAGATAGATATTTTACGTATATATAAAATCGAATACTTGATTTGAACTGCTAGAATGCTAAAGATTCTTTTTACAGCTACAAAGGAAAATAATCACCAAAATTAGCAATGAAGGAAATGGTTTCTGCACACCTTATGCATATCTTGGTTCACAAATAGATACCAAGATGATTTAACAGTAGTATCTGTATAGTACATAACTAACTACATGTAATAATCCTCACATAGACTCACCAACATAAACTTGCCCATATTTGTAAATTAGAAATGTCTGGTGGGAGTACTTCTCATCTCACTCTTAACAAGCTTCATATGACAAGAATCTTTCTCAGGACCACTCAGCCCAGAACATGAATCTTTGAACCCAAAAGCAATAGCAAAGTAAAGATAAACTGTACATAGGATAGTTAGTAGAGCTAAAACAGATAACAGAAAGCGGTGCCTCATGATAAGTATTGACCAACTACCCACTTCGTTCTTTGTGAACTGCCTCCTCACAAATGATGATGACCTCATAGGTTCTCCTCAATCTGTAGAATGTGTCAATAATTAGCAAGACTTTAGGTAATTCAATGCACAATTGCTGAATTCATATTCAATCCTCAATTAAAATCCATGATAGTAACAAACAAGAAAAAACACTGCGTAAAATTTTGGGGGTAAAAACCCTCTCACGATCATGAACGTTTTCAAAATAATTTTTCCCAACTTAGAACCAAACAATCTTAGATCTGGTACAATAACCATGATAACAAAAAACAAATCAAATGCCATTTCCTAGTATGGTGACATTCATTGAGTGTTGCAGATTAAACACAATAATGCAGGAATGTTAATCTCACCACCCCATTATCCCAATGACCAAGATAATTAGAAATCAAACAAATGCACACATGGGGATTGGGGATACACAACAAATCTGACTCAGAAATAGATACGCATTAAAGCTAAATGATGATAATTAAACGCAACATAATTGGTTTAAATGAGAAGAGTTACCTTGACAATGAAGGAAAGAAAAAAGTAGAAGCAATGATGCACGATCTTGATCCTAGAAGAGCGTTTCTTATAATGTAAAAAAATACTATAACATGGCCGAAAATAGTTACTATAATTAATGTCCCATTAATTTAAATTTATTGTGTTAGAGAATATGTTACTAGTATTTCTTTAATTGAATTTAAAAAAGAAAATAAATCCATGAAAAACAATAGATTCATTTATTTCAATCTTTCCATTTAAGTCGTTATCTTCACACAATGAAGAAATACGTAACACCACTGCAGTGCAATAGACAACACAAGACTTTTTACACAAACCATAAGTAAATCCCACAGGGTGAGATACAAAATTCCATCACTTTAGAACCGGAAATATGAAGAACCAAGTACAGATGCATGATTTCGACCCAAGTTGCGTCCCCGGATGCACTCCACATCAACCAAGTGCGAGTGATCGATGAAAAGGTTCACCTGAACAAAAAGAACACACGATATCAAAGTGCTGCACAACATTTTAACTATTTCTTGTTCATTAGTGAGGAAAAGGAAATAGAACACTTACTTTTGGCCCATATTGTTTGATAAACCATTCGGATGCTTTCTGATTTAATGCTTCGAACATAGTCTTCTCCAGACCAAGGCGACCTATGATCTTTGCAATAACATCTGCTCGCATATTATCAGCATGTTTGGAAACATCATCAGCATCAATCATTATCATGTCGGCCCCCGCTTCTAGACACCTCTCAGCTCTCCTAATCAAAAGATCCACATCTTCTACTAATTCTGTCACAGAAGTTTCAATACAAGGTCATAAATTGATAAATATGTTCAATTCCACCTTCAAAGAGAGATAGACATATAGATGCATAAAAATGAAGAACAAGAAAGAGAAAAAGGGAATCAAATATGTTTACCAAATGATGTAGACGCTGGAGGAATATACGCCCCGTACGCTCGATCACCAGCTGGAGGAATTTGAGACTCATTAAACTTAACTTCAAAATGAGGCTTAGCCTTCATACCACCAGTTTTGACCAAGCGAACAAATCTTAACAGAGTTTCTTCCGGAACTCCAAGCGAACCCACATTCAGCTCAATTGTATCAAATCCCAAGCTCTTGCATTCCTAATTACAAAAGATAATATATTAATCATGTAACACTAACAAGTTGGACATATTTCAATACAACAAAATGACAGTGCGGACCTGTAGATAGTGTTTGAAGCCTGATGGAGCTTTGTGAATGATATGTTCAGCCCAATCTCCCGTGCTAACATACACATCATGCTGATGAGCCGTATCAATGACTTGTTTGATAAAAGCTTTTGGCATCAAGCTATCAGAGCCTCCAGAGAATTTCAAACCGTCAACATAGTCTCCCATAGATTCCAAAATGTCCTGCACACAACAACACAACACAACACAGTTATTTCAACATACTCTCCCATAGTTAGTTAGGAATGAAAAAGGAAAACCTGAAGAACATTGTGGTTGAAGAGAGTGTAATGGGGACTTCGCATCTCGGTGACGCCGTAGCGACGAGGTTTGGAGGGACGATCCTCGTTCTCGTCGAAGGTTTTCCATCGGTATGCTGACATTATTGCTATTGTTAGTGGGAAGAATTGAGTCCCTTTCTATTTCTCGTTCTCACTGTCCCTGCAACCGAAAGGAACTTTATTTAGAAATGACCATTTGTTTCTTGAAGCTAGCAGAAGAAAAAAGAAGCTGAAGTTCTTTCTAGAATGCCCGAGCTGAACAACAACGCTCCGAATGTTACGTGTCCTTTTATTTTACTTGAAGAACAATGGGTTGTCCACGTGGTTCGTAACGAAAAAGAAGCGGATGTAAGGAATATGTGTTTCTCTGTATTAAGTAAATAATTTTTTTCATTGAAGTATCCTCGATCCTCCATATCAATAAGATAGTTGTTTACACAACGCGACGTTTTCATTCCCACTTTCATATTATTTTTTATTTTGTAATTGACTTAATTGTTGAATTGTTAATTTTGTAGGTCAATTCTATCTCTATCGTACAAAAAATTTGATCTATCATACAAAGGTTCCACTTCACCGTCCACCGAACATCTCTTGTTCTACAATTAAATAGTAGCGTCATCTATGAAAATCGAAATATGATTCCCGCAAATTCTCACGTTCAAATATACTCAAATCCAAAAATTTAGATCTCTTTTGTTAGAATAATCCTATCGCCATTTCTTGATATTCTTTCTTGAAGTTTCAAATTCCTCTTTCAACATATTCGTCCTTAGATTCATCAACCATGGTGGCATCCAACGTCATCCAATTCGTCATTCAATGACAAGTTGTCCCTATAACTGCTGAAACTTTTAAAGCTCCAACTTTTCCTCCTTAAGTAGAAGAAGATTCAGTCATAGCATTGTTTCCTTTTAATCTTATATAGTAAGATCTCGCCTCACTGAAATTTGGTCAACGAACATTCCAAACTCTTCCATTTTTCGCATCTACGTAACAATTTTGACTTCCGCTACTATCCGTTGTACCTAAACAAGAAATGTTCCCTAGCCATTTGTTACAGTCCAACCTTGAAGTATAGGGAGCTACCAACCTAGTAAACAACATCCATAACCTCATGCAGCAACATAATTCACAATTCTTAACAAAAAGTTTGTTCATGATTGAAGCGAGCATGTAACACGTTACTCCAAAGGATAGTATTATGTATGAGGCGTCCTCCCAACGCAATCAAGCCACCATCTTTGAGTTGGCCACCTTTTGGGAAACATCACTACGAGGAGAGACCCTAAGTTCGTCAACTAGCAACTATCATCGAAGACATAAAACTCCTTTGCTTGATCCTAAAGGGGGATTGGTAGCCATACATGAAGAATCACGTTTCTAAGTTTTCTAATATATATATAATATCTAATTAGTATTCTAATAACAATTAATAATAATTTAGTATTATTAGTATAATAATATTGTAGAAGTTTTGTAAGTAGAAATAATAGAATCTTTAGCTGATAATTAATTAACCGGAGATAGTCGTAATAGTCCGAATAATTATACGGTTTATTTGTAGTAAATTTTGGTTGACTCTTTGTATTATATTCTTTGTTGAAAAATGTGAATTAACAGGTGATATTATTGCCTCTATTTATGGGCAAAATATTAAGTTGCAGGCTTATGGCCAATATTGATTTGTTGTTGTGATGCTATGGAATTTTGTTGTTGCTATCCTGACATTCATATTGGATCACTGTTAGCTCCTAAATTTGACACTCACATATATTGGTCTTATTGGCTAAAAATAGATTGAAGAAATCTAAGCTGAAGACACTTTGATAGAAGAGCCTGTGAAAGGAGTTGTGTCGAAGTCATCCTTGCTAAGAAGGAAAAAACACTTGGAGAATTTTCTAAGTTAAAGACAGTTTTGACCGAAAAGCTCTTGTATCAGCAACAAGTAGATTTGAATATGAAGAAAGGAAGGAAAGGCAATTCATTTGGCAGTTTGGAAAAGCGACGTGGCGTCAAGATAGAGGTCGAAGAGCATGCAGAGAACACTTGTCCTCATCCTGGAATGAAGCAACTGTTCAGAAGTTACTTATTATTAGTATAAATATAGGAATTTTGTGTGTTCAACTCATTGTACAAGTCACTCAATTTTATTCAAGTACCCGCTGTGAGAGAAAGAATATTGAGAATGTATGTTTGAATCACCATACTTTATTGCAATCAAAATCTTTACATTTCTTTACAATCCTTGCCGTTTAATATTTTTCTGCAAACTTTACCATTACAGCCTTTTTAATTACTACAAATTTACTTTATCATGTACTTTACTTGCGTTTTTACCAAGTTTTTACCTTCATCATGTGCATTTAAAACTATCCAAGCTTTTACTCCCAGTGTCCAGTCGAACTTGTTCATTAACAACATTAAGACTTCTTATCAAACCCCAAAAACACTTAGCATATGTCCTATGATCAAACTGATCGATCCTGCAAGTAACCAAAATAATCTTTTTGGAAGATCAATGGTTGTTTATCAATTTTCACGATAAACAAATTGGCACACCTGGTGGGACGTTGCTAAGTTTTTGTTTTTTTTACAAACTTTGATAAAAACAGTTTTTATCATAAGTGATTTACGTAATTTCCTTTCTCTCAAAAGTGTTGTATGTTATTGAGAAGTGGTAAATCAACCACCAAAGAGTACATACCTAGGAAAGAAATAGGAGAATGGATAATCCTAATCTGCCAAGTAGTGAAGAAATGCCTCCACCAATTCCCGCGGGAATAACAGTTACACCAACAATTAGTGAACCTGTGCCATCAACGGTTAGTTTAACACCAACATTAGCAATTACACAAACATGACCAATACTTCCTCATGTAGGTCATAGGGGTCCACCAGGAACACCCCCACCAAGGGGAAATCCGGGAGTTCGACCTTATGTCCTTCCAAGATTTTCGATAGCCTGGATGGGTCGAGACCAACCCTATGGCATACCAACTGCTAAAATGGCAAGCCTTATGAATGTCCCATCCATATTTTCAGAACCTTTGGTGAGTGCATCTTCGCCATTGCAGGGATCTGGAACTGGTATGGAAAATCTAGGTAGAAACCAACTCTTATGAGGGACATCCCATATAATGCTAAGCCTCACAAATGCTTCTGCAGCAATTTTGAGGCAACAAATGGATGAGAGTAACCATGACATGGTGAAGATGTTGGCGCAAATCATGAGTATAGTACTTAA